AATGTTTGGCATCTGTACCTAAGGAAAATGTAGTGATGGAGTACACATTTAAATAAAGTACAACTTGGGCTGCAGAAGGAATTGACAGAAAATTGCTTTGGTTCAAAGAAGGAATTGTTAGAAGCCTAGCAAAGTAACATAGGTATAGCTTTTTGCTTTTACAGTGAAGCAGATTATGATCAAGACAGGTGACTGATTTTTCTACAAGTAGAAGGATCATAGCTTCTAGCAAACACATGAATCCCTGAGACTGAGGAAGAGCCACCAGCTTCAAGAAAACAGTGAAACAACTCCATACTCATATAATGTGACTATCACAGAATATTTGTGCTTTCATATTCCTTAACTTGGAACTCTCCATAATGGTGAGTTATTTTACAGCATGGTGAGTTTCCAATAAACTCTAACACCCCAAAGCTGGGAATACGTGTAGCAATGCATGCCCAACAAAGCATCCAATATTCATATAATTTTATTACATACTATCACAGGAGTAACTGTTAAAGTGAAACTACTTCTATGCAAATTCACAAGATTGAGAAAATTACAATAAAACTTTCAGACTTCAACTTTAGCCAAAATAAAGAAAATGGAAAACAGACCTCAGAACTTAAATACACACATAAACATACATAGACAGACATAAACATACTTCTACATTGCAAAGATTTGCCTTTTAAAACAGATGTAACAAAAATGGTCAGAATATCCCCAAATTTTAGCTATCATTGTATAAATATTAGTTTTAATTCCTCTGCGTTGGATACGTATTTTAGAAGCATGATTCAAAACCAATACAACTGAAAATTGGATCACAGGTGTGAAATGGATAAATCGTTATTCTCTGAGGGTAAAAAAAAACAACAACACAACACAACAAAACCAAAGGTTGAATTTATGGGCAGTATCAGAGAAGAAATGGTCAACTTTTACTTGAAGAGAATTTGTACTATTTTTCTTCTTCAAAACTCCAGCTAATGAATGACATTCTGATGCACTTCCCCATGAGCTGTATCACTCATACTTTCACTGAAACTATCAGCCATGGGAAACTTGTCATTCAAACTGTAAATTGCTCTCTTTCTTCCCCCTTTTAGCTTCTCCTGTTGAAAATGATAGAGAATATCATCTCTGTTACATTATTACTCTCCTTTTAAAATAAACATTAAAATAGTAATGTTAAGGAGAGAGTACACTGCATAAAAATACCTGTGATACAAAACTATGACATCGTTAGTTAAAACTAGAAGCAATACTATTTAAAGGGATTAATATATGTAGCCCCAAACAGATAAAATAAACTGTCAATTATTCTGTGATTCTGTGTAATTACAATATGACATTCTTTACAGATAAAATACAGGTGATGGTATCTAGAATACAAATTCCTAAGAAGAAGTAATAGCAGTACCACTACTACGAGTAATATTTAAAGACGTAAAAATTTTCTAGAGATTCTTGAATCAAAGCTTAAGTTTACCTTACACTTTTTAGGATTTTTTTTAGGATGTTTTACCATATACCTCTTGCAGTTTGAAAGAAAACAAGTGGAAAAAATTATTCTTTCGAGACTAAAAATCTGCTAGCTTAATATACAAACGGATCTGCAACCACTGCTCATTTCAGACGTACGAAAAAGAACTATGAAAAAGGTTGGTCTTGGGATGTTGGGCTTTACTGCATCTGAAATTATACTCTGAGGAATGGAAAAAATAGATATAGGCTGAAGAACATACACATAAAGACACACAACATTCCTTGTTCAAACACATTTACATGTATAGTAACACTAAAGAAAGTCTAAAATAGATTTGAATTACTCTCATTCCAAGATTAAACTAATTTCTGTACAAAAATACGTATTGTCCCATCAATAAAAACCATTTCATGTGAGAATTATATCTTGTTCAGAACAGTACCAACTTAAAAATGATGTTAATATTGATCCTAGGAATTACTGCCTGAAAAATCTAAACATAAATATCAAGAACAGTGCAGAAAATACTTAGAGATAACTTTAAAAAAGACAGTGATAGCCACGTCATAGTTAGGGCTATGAAGATGATTAAGGGACTGGAGCATCTCTATTATGACGAAAGGCTGAGGGAGCTGCACTTGTTTAGCCTGAAGAATAGAAGACTGGGAGAGGAGCTCACAAGTATCTTAAGGGCAAGTGTCAAGAGGATGGGGCCAGACTTTTTCAGTGGTGACCAGTGGCAGGACCGACAGGTGGCAGGACAGACTGAAGCATAAGAAGTTCCATCTGAACATGAGGAAGACCTTCTGTACTTTGAGGGTGATGGAGCACTGGAACAGGCTGCCCAGACGGGTAAGCATACTTAAAAATACTTAATCTACAATAAGAGCAGTCCTAGTAACTGTAATGGAGTTAGGATTTCAAAAGCATCTTTAGTAATTAAAGCATTTTAAACAGCAAATAAAATCCACATGAAAGATAAACTCATTAGAGGTATGAGATAGCAAGTAATGCAAACATTTAGGTCATCAGTAAACTGTCAATAAGAAGACTGAGATCAAGCTATATTGCATGGGTGAAGACTACAGTCACTATCATTCCGTCTAAAGCAATTCCTAATCTGCAGAGAAGTGGAAGCAAATCATATTTAGCAGCCACAGGAGCAGAGAGAGGTTCACCTCACCGAACATTAGAGTATCAACGTCTAAATTCAGCACCAACAGGCAATGAAGCATTTTATAGATGGGGGAAGGGTAAGGTAGTTGTGTAAGATGCAACCTAACAAAGAAATCTTAGGTCACTAGAATCAGCCTTAGAAAAGACTACCCTTTCCACAGACTATAGAGTTTTCATAACCAGATTATTTGCAGATGCCTAGATAGTCCTCTTTGCATCTCAGTTGTTACAAAAAGTTTACAATGAGCGAAAAAACTGTGATCAGTTCCACTGATGACAGGAGCTTCAGAACCTTAGGTTAAGATAAGCCATAAGGTGACAAAGACAATTCAAAACTAACTTCTGAAAAGGAAAATAAAAAGTAGAGAGGTATGAAATTGTACAGAAAACAAGTATCTCTTCTACTATAATTTAGAAAGAGTGGTTACAAAGTGCAAATCATTACATACAGTGAAGTATTCTGAAGTAGTTATAGCAACACAGGGCCCTCAAAACTGGGCATCTTCCATCTTTCTAATGCACAGTACTAATCAAAAAAAAAAAAGGAAAAAAGTTACCTCTGATAAGCAATCTTGTAATAGGGCAATGACTCAGTTAAAAAGAGTAAAGAAATAACACATCAGGTATCATGAAATGTGGGATGTTCTTGCTTGAAATGAACTTGGGCACTTCATATAAGAAAATTAAATATAAACAGATAACAGTGAGAGAAAATCTATAAAATAAATAGAGATTTAGGAGTTTCATTCTAAGACAACTTCTATGCATTAGTTTAGAAAAGAGAAAATTTATTCCCCTAGAAGCAGAACTCCTAAATAAAGATACATAAAAAAGATCAATAGACCATCCCTGAATTTGATGGTTTACATCCTTGAATTATGCATTGCTGCCTGCAAGCCATAGCTCCAATTTGCATTGCAATCATTAAAATAATAATTTTTTTATTAAGTTTGAGATAATGGAATTGAAGCCTTACTTCTCCTTCTAACAACGTCCTTACCCCAGTGTCTGCATCTGCATTTAAAATTTTTTTTGCAGCTTTTGTTTGATATTTTACTGGTGGCAAGAAATAACTATCTACATTACTCTTTGCAATACGAATACGGGATTTCAAAAGAGCCCTCACTGAAGAGATCAAGCAGCTCTACCTCTCAGATTTGTTTTATCAGTCTGTCTGAAGATGGGCAAAGACAATATTGCAGCAGCTTATGCTCATTTAACATTTAGAAGATTGTTTTTCTTTTCTCACTCCCCACAGCCATATGGATTAGAAACTCATTTATTTCTCTTTGTTATGAAAACACAATCTGAAGTGGAAATGTGTAGCGAATTCAGAAAGGATAATTATGCAACAAGTAAGCCACTGCATAATCTCGTTATACCATAGATGGGGTTTGACAATAAGAGTGGTAAGAACATTCTGAATTGAAAGTCAACAAAATTAAAATGCATAAAATAAAACACATTTTAACATAATGTTTAACTGAAGCAAGAAACAGCTTAAACCTAAAGCTTAGTAAAGTTTAAAAATGAATCCAGTCTTTGTATGGACAGAAGGATAGAAGTAACTTGACAGGATAAAATCACAGACCACAATTACCAATATTATTCTTTTAGTCCAAGTTGCTAATTGCTGGGGATCAAGGAAAGCTGCAACTCTGGTCTGGAACTGTGTAATTCAATTTTCCATGTGGATTTTGGACATTATCTGTCTGGTATTGCATCTCCTTCATTCTCAACAAAATTCATGTGAATAGAAAGTGATGAGCATAGCAAGTCTTATTAATTATTATTACTAGGTACAAAGATAATATGAGATAAATGGATTGGAATAATCACAAACTAGACTCTGAATTAGATAACAAAAAATTAAGTGTTGCTTAACATTTGTATATTTTTAAATAAACTGGGATTTGTTTGATTATGATCTTTATTTCTTTGTGTTGCTTCTTCTTATTAAATGGTCCAGAAAAAATGAAGCAAGTGTGGGGTTTGTTCCCCAATTAAAAAGCCAAGTTTAACACACTGAGATCAAGTTTAACACACTGAGTATGGGAAAACAACTTTATCACACATAGCAAGATGAAAGATATTTTGCAGTACGTTTTTAGTCCTCAGAATACCTCCTGGAGACTTAATGGAGTAATGCTAAGGCTAGGTTTTTTATGTTTGCTTGTTATGGCCTTTTACCTTGTCAAAAGCTGTATTTGTTTGTATATTTAATTATGTAAACTCTTTCAGTGTAGTTCTTCATATTCCACTGCTTTGCTTATATTTGCAACAATGTATAGCACAAGTATTTTAAGTCTTCTGCAGAAACTTAATTCTCATTATTGAAAGAACATACCCAAATGCTTTCTTCTTGACGATACTGCTTCCAGTTTCGTCCACTGTCACTAAACATCAGAAGGTAGCTTGTTACCCAATCGGAGCTCCCGTAACCACCTTGAGTAGCAACAGCAGTAATCTCAGTTCTTTCACCAAGATCAATCTGAAGCCACTGATATTTATTGGACACAAGTGGAGACCAGCCACCAGCACCTTAAAAAGAATGAAAAAGATTGAAATGTATTCCTAAAAGAAGCAAGTTATCATAAAACTTGTATATGCAAAAATGAATTAATATATCTGAGCAACCTGACCTAGTGAAAGATGTCCTTGTCCAAGGCAGGGGTTTGAAACTAAATGATCTCTAGAAGTCCTTTCCAAACCAAACAGTTCCATGATTCTATGATTCTAATTCAAGACATAGTTGCACCTAAATTTTCTTGATATTATTTAGCAACTATTACAAAAATTGATACAGATTACTTATGTAACCAATTATAAGCATTAAAGGTCACTGTGAATTTACTCCCTCCCTGGTTTCTCTTCCTAACTTTTGTAATGAATTTTACAGAGTAGTTATTATCCAATTAGACAAAGCTCTTCAAGTCAAACACTCGGAATTTTTTTCATTTGTTTTATATATCTCAATTTCATTTTGTATGGACAACAAGATCTCCTGACGTCCTGTCTAACCTGAATGATTGATTCTGCATGACTCTGTTCTGTGAGGCCTGCATATATGGATTTGTATATGAAGTAATAAAGTACAGTTACATGATAAATTTAAACATGCTTCCTGAAGTGACTAACTAATCTGTAGGCAAAATAGTATGTGAGTATGAGGTATACACAAACAGTTTCAATCAGGAGACGAACCAGCGCGCAAAGATAAAGTTTAACCCAAAACAAGTATCTATATATAAAACTCCTGCAGTATTTTAACTAATCAGAAACATGTTGAAATGAAGAAAGACATCGTATCAGTTCAGTTCTCCCTTGTCTTCCTTAGCTTGCCTTTATTTACTCAGATCAGACTAATACCTTGTCTGCAAAGTTGGATGGAAAAGCCCAAGGATAGGTCGCAAACAATCTCATAAGAAAAAATGTTGGTTTATGAAAATATTTTTCAAAATTTGCAAGTGTTCAGACTTACGCAACATAAAAGGGACCTTGCAAAGTTCTTAAAGCATACAGACACAGAACAAGAAGCACATATATCTATTTCCCACAACAATCAATCAACACTGTGTTATATGGAAATTGTCAACTGTAATCCAATCTTATGCTTGTATAGGCTTCAAAATGTGTAACATGTCCTAAATAAAACGCCATATATGGTTTAATTCTGTTCAGGGTCATGAGTCAAGTTCTTACCATTACCTCCTTTAGAAAAAAAAGAAAATAAAACAGAATTATTGCTTAAGGATTTTAAAATGTCATTTCAAAATAAAATGGTGGGAAATAATATAGGTGTTCATAAGCTGCAGAAGGTAAGGTTCATTTTATAGAAGAAGGTAAGTGGAAAAAGCTGAAACACATGAAGCTTGATCTATATAACAATTCCTTTGTCCACACATTTATGAAATAATTAAAATGTAACGTATTTAAAACTATGGGTGGAGTTGAAAACTGTGTAGAATTTTGTTTTACTTTTTTTAGCTCTGTATCTAAATCAAGATTTAGAACTTCATGTAAATACTTTGAAGTATTTTTCCTTAACTCCCACTGAGTTTCTCATTTGATTAATTTCTTCATAAGAGGAGACATCCGACCCAGGATATATCTATTGATTTTCTACACATTTCTTTATAAATCTGTTTGTCACAGAAACTGTAGCTGAGTGGGGATTTGAATTTGCACTTAATCATAATTAGTGGTATAATTATTTAGCAAACTAATTCAAAACCAGCAACAGTTAGTCTTGGCAGTGACTTAAAGGCAACCATTGTATCCCACCCATACCCTTCCCAATAAATTTAGAATATTTTTTCAAAACGTATGATATGAAAACAATTTTGAAGGAATATTCACATCACATAACTCAAAAAACCCCCAATATTTGCACATGCAAATTGACCAAATGGGCAAGAATTAACAGTTTCTGAAAACAGATTCCTTCAAAACTTGAACTGTCTCTAACAAATGTGAGTTCTCACACAGAATGCGTTCTTCCTCAAGTGAACACTTGACTGACTACATCTAACAAGAAATACAGACGTGTCTCTGAAAATGAAGATGGAGAACAAGAAACAAAGAAAAGAGCATTTGTCTAAGATACATATTCAGCAAAAATAAAAACAATGTAAAAGTGGTATTCTGCACTTAAAGGAGGCAAATGTAATTACATAGACTTTGTCATATCAGTCCATTCTCACTTGGAATGTGTTGGGGGGAGTGGTGGTTAGTAATTTACATTGAATTTCCTACTTGTCATATTTTACTTCCCAAACCCACAGGTTAAGTTAAATGACATAAAAACAGACTTTAAAAATTCTGTTGTCTGAATCAATCAAGAGATTATCTATTACATTAAGAACAGAAAATAACTCAGCATACCAGTGAAAACACTTCCTAATACAGTCAGGGGCAAAGTCACGCATATTTGCTTGTGTTTTCTTAATAAAAAGGATATGCCTAGGTGAAAAAGTGTCTATTTCTTTAAAATAAAAGATTGACTTTAGTTCCATGTTTATTTTCAATTTTCTGGGCTATGATAGTCCATTATTTTTTAAGAAGAATCTATTCTACCAATACTTCAACGTGCTGGTTATAAATTCTTCATACTCAGCAACAACCTAAACCCATAAAGACATTCAAGATAGTTATAAATCAGTATGAAAAAAAAGAAGAAAAAAAAAAAAAGATTTTAGATGTACTTCATTTTGCACTGAGGGCAAATTAATGTTTAATTTCTTCTTCTTTTTTTTCCTTTTATTTATTTTTTTTTACAAAGGCACAGAGATAACCAATCAAAACAAACAGCTCTGGACAAAATATTAAAAATATTTCTATAGTCTTTAGTGAACTCATGTGAGTTATTGCTCTCCCACCCAGCAGCTCTTGGCTTCTCTATACCTTTTCCATGATCTTGTTTTCATTGATCTTTCTAAAACTGTACCAGTGCCCTCAGGGCACTAAAAGAATTTAATAGCCCTGCCCAATCTCCCATCGGGCCTCCCCTTATGCCCTGCCCATAGGCTCAGGACCCTAATTGAACTCAGCCAGCCTGTCCTGCCCCCTGACATACACTTCCAACACAGAGACCCTAGTCATTTTCCACTGGGCAGCTTTCCAGCCACCCCTCCCCAAGCCTGTAGCATTGCATGGGATTGCTGTGACCGAAGTGCAGGACCCAGCATTTGGCCATGTTGAGCCTCATACAGTTGGCCTTGGCCCATCAATCCAGTCTGTCCAGATCCCTCTGCAGAGCCTTCCTACCCTCCAGCAGATCGACACTCCCGCCCAGCTTAGTGTCATCTGCAGACTTACTGAGGGAGCACTCAGTCCTCTCATCCAGATCATTGATAAAGATGTTAAACAAGACTGGACTCAAAACTCAGCCCTGGGGGAACACCACTCGTGACTGGCCACCAGGTGGATTTAACTCCATTCACCACTACTCTCTGAGCTTGGCCATTCAGCCAGTTCTTTATCCAGCGAAGAGCAGTCCCATCCAAACCATGGGCAGCTAGTTTCTCCAGGAGGATACTGTGGGAAACAGTGTCAAAGGCCTTACTAACGTCCAGGTAGACGACATCCACAGCCTTTCCTTCACCCGCTAGGTGGGTCATCTGGTCATAGTAGGAGATCATGTTGGTCAAGCAGGACCTGCCTTTCATGAACCCCTGCTGGCTGGGCCTGATCCCCTTATTGTCCTTCACAAGCCCGGTGAGCGTACTCAGGATGAACTGCTTCATAGTCTTCCCCGGCACCAAGGTCAGGCTGACAGGCCTGTAGTTCGCAGGATCCTCCTTCTGGTCCTTCTTGTAGATGGGTTACATTGGCGATATTCTAGTCCTCTGGGACCTCCCCTGTTAGCCAGGACTGCTGATAGATGATGGAGAGTGACTTGGCCAGCTCCCAGCTCCTCTGCCAGTTGCTTCAGCACTCTTGGGTGCTATCTGGCCTGATAGACTTGTAAGTTTTCAGGTGGCATAGCAGGTCATTAACTGCTTCCTGCTGGATTATGGGATGTTTGTTCTGCACTCCTTCCCTATCTTCCGGCACGGGGGGCTGACTACCCTGGAAATAACCAGTCTGACTATTAAAGACTGAGGCGAAGAAGGCATTAAGTATTTCAGCCTTTTCCTCATCCTTGTTGACAATATTCCCCCTCACATCCAATAAGGGATGGAAACGCTCATTGGCCCTCTTTTTGTTGTTGATGTATTTGTAAAAACATTTTTTGTTGTCCCTTGCAACAGTGGCCAGCCTGAGTTCTAGCTGGGCTTTTGCCTTTCTAATTTCCTCTCTGCATGACCTAACGAGACCCCTGTACTCCTCTTGAATTGCCCGCCTTTCTTCCACAGGTGGTAGGCCCTCCTTTTTTTCCTGAGTCCCAGAAAGAGCTCCCTGTTCAGCCAGGCTGGTCGTCTTCCCCGCCAGTTCATCTTGTGGCACACAGGGACAGCCTGTTCCTTTGCCTTTAAGACTTCCTCCTTGAAGAATGTCCAGCCTTCCTGGACCCCTTTGCCCTTCAGCACTCTCTCCCAAGGGACCCTCTCAACCAGCGTCCTGAATAGGCCAGAGTCTGCCCTCTGAAAGAAAATTTTGCTGGCCCCCCTCTTAATTTCACCTCAAACTGAGAACTCTATTATTTCATGGTCGCTATTTCACATGTTCTAATGTGAGGAGGTCAATCAAAATTAAAACAGAGGAGGTCAGTCAAAATTATCCTTAAAATTACTTCTTCAAGAAGAGTAAGTGATACTATCTCCCCTGTGGTTTCAGTGGCTGTACCTCAACAGCTCCGCTGAAGCCTCTACAGCCTTACCTTTATGCCCATACTGTTTCATCTTATGGTGGCTGTGCAGAGAGCAGAGTGGCAGCATCAGACAAGTAAGAAAACTTTGTGACACCCAGCCTGGGAGGCTGAATAACAAACTTTGTACCCACAAGCTGGGCAGTCCACATCCATAGTATATACTGTATCCGTAGCATACCCCACACAAGACCAGACAACTTAACTTTCACTGCCAAATACTTTGTTCATG